GGGAGGGGGAAAGAAACCGTGTATGGTGGCAGTTGGCGCCTGAAGGTATGGAGGGCTGAGTTGTGGAGGTACGTTGGCCCCTCCCCCCCCTACGGCCGTTTTCGTTGGCCGAAGGGCCGTAGGTATGGTCTCGGCCCCCTCTATTGGCAACTGACGCCGTATCGTATCGGTGTATTCGTGGGAGAAGGCGACCCAAGCGGCCACTACGATGACAGCCGCAAGGGGTTCGAGGCCTATGATGGTCCTCGCTGGTGAGGCCTATGATGGTCCTCACCGGGGTGGGGTTGGGGTAGGGGGGCAGAAAAGTCGAAGCGGATGTCCGACGGCAACGTCCTGGGTGGATACCTGAAATGGCGCGTAAAACTAACACCAGTCTTCGGCCTATGCTCCAAAGAAGCCCCGCACCAGTTGTGGAAAGTGGGAAATCGTCTCATCAAAACCCGACCCCGACCCCCAACCCGGCCCCGACCCCCAGCATCGGCGACTAGCCTCATGCTGAAAATAGGCGGGTACGTCCAAAAAACTGGGGTGGAAGGGGCGGGCCGACGACGACGACGCCGACGACGACGACGCCGACGCCGCAGCAATCGCCACCGCTGCCGCCGCCGGTAGGAAGGAAGGGAGGGAGGGAGGGAAGGAAGGAAGGAATGTTTTCGAAACTGTGTTTCATGATCTCTGGGGTCCTGCAAGCGGAGGACATCTCGAGCCTCGCGCCTCCAAGGGGGAGGACGGCAATTGGGGCCCCGAGCGCTGGAACTGCAGTCACCCCAATGGATCGGTGATCAGACATCGTTTGGTCCGGGCATGACGCGTTCACGAAGCGTGCGCAACGGATCATTGTAACAGACACCTGATATTGGCCACGTCAGGCTTGCCCCATCCATAAGAATACCAAGCACATGGTAGTCCAGCGGACCAAGACCTCCCGCGGGGCTCGACCGAGTGGCGCGACTGGTAGACTTGGCGCAGCGAACGGCGCGACCCACAGGATCGCACGGAACAACACCATGTGCCTTGCCCCTGGCCCTCGGCAAGCCTATTGCACCGATGGAGGGCAGCATGCAGCTGGAGCGAGGGGCCGCCCAAGTTCACGCCGTTCTCCTCACCGCGGAAGGCATCGAGGAAGGCGTCTCGTGGGAGGCCTGCATCCTGGGACAAATGACACTGAACGCGGAGCACGTGCAGAAGAAGTAGTTCGTCTTGGTGGCAAATGTGCCGGCGACGGCGACGGAACCCTCACAGCGTCCATCGCCACATCGGCCGCAGTCGGCGACACCGACGTCGACAGCCCGGTGGACATGTGCGACGACCTCCTCGCACACATCCGCGAAGAGGCCAGCTGCTGGGCCAGCGCGGTCGAAGACGACGAATGCCAGGCCGAGTGAGCACCGTCTGCCGTGCCAGGCCGCAGCCGCAGCTGCACAATGCGAAGCAGCAGCGGCGCGAGCTCGGCCCCCCTCTGGCAGCGGCAGCAGCGGCGCCGCCAGCTGTGGACGACCGCGGCGCAGACAGCGGGGCGCGGCATGCTTGCAAGCGTCCGTGGAAGCCAACTGCGGGGCCGGCTGCGTGCCAAAAACTACGCAGGCGCCGCGCACTTGATGGCAGACGTGGGCCGGCGCCGAAGCGACGCAACTGCGCGCGCGGGGCAGCCCGCTGCGGCTGCAGCGCCGCGTGCCGCCTTCAGCTGGAGCACGCCTCAGCGCTGCAGCCCTCGGCCAGCGAGAGCTATCCATACGTGGCCCTCGACGTCGATACAGTACCAGGAGCCGGCAATTATCTGAGCAGGGCGAGCTTGCCTCGTCGTGAACTTAGGGCGCTAGTAAGCGCGAGAAAGGGCGACGCGGGGCAGGTTGCGCTGTCCGCCCTCCCGCGCGGTCTCACGATGAAGGGCGGCGCGCGCCATCTACACGTGCTCCACAGAGCAATGCGGGAAGCGTCCATGAGTGGGCGCAAACAAAACGTGGCCCAGCACGTGAGTGCTCTTCCCAGAGACCGACGGGCAGCAAGCGCCCCGCCCTGAGAGCCCGCGCTGCTGCTGCTGTCCCTGGGGGCCCACCGCATGCCGTGAGCAGATATTTTTCTTAACCTCAACAAGTTCGCCCCTACATCCTGGGACGCCTCCGCGAGCGCCACGAAGACGACCGCGATGAGCCAGAACACCACCGCGAGCGCCACAACGACCGCGAGGAGCCCGAGGAACATCGCGAACAGCACGGGGGGACGTGTTTGCTCTTGGCCGCTGGAGGCCACTGCCTCCCGACCACAGCTCTTGCCCCGTCGGCCGCGGGAGGCCTGCCGCGTCTCGCTCACCCGTCGGGCTGCCACCTTGTGCCTCCGGCCGTGCTCGCGGCCGCCCGCGGCCTGCCGCGCCCGCTTGGAGCTCTGCCGCGTCCTGCTCGCAGCTCCTGTGGTGCTCCCGGTGGCTACAGGCGCGGTGGAGGGGCACGGAGGGATCGGCTACGGGGGGAGGGAGAGAAAGAGACGGTCCCAGGGAAGGGAGGGCGGGTGCGGCAGGATGGGGGGATGGGATGAAAAAGGGGGCGGGCGGGGCGGCTAGCGGGAGGTGGATATAGGGGGAGAGGATGGGCCAGGAGGGATGAGGAAAGAGGGAAGATGGGAGGAGGGACGGGGGAGGGAGGGGGTCGGGAAGAGGGGGGATGCAAGCGGGAGGGGAAAGTAGGGAAGCCAAAGCAGGATTGATGGTGGAGGAGGAACAGAAGATGGGGAGGAACACATGATAATGATAAGACATTAACAATCATACCAATAATACGACTAAGAGGAACAATACGAATGACAAACAAATTATAGCCGGAGTGCAGTATCCCCCAACAGGGTAATTCAACCCACTGCGGTTTCCACGGTCGATCGCCTGCCCGTCCAGTGCGGGCTGGCATGGCATGCTAGAACATGGCAACATGATGTTTGCACATGAGATGTTTACACGAAAACTTGCGCGGCGCATTCCTATTGGGAAGCTAACTCTGGGGACCTCCTGGGGCTGCCTCCTGGGCCTCCTGTGGCCTCCTGGACCCCACCTGGGGCTTCCTGAAGCCTCTTGGGGCTCCCAGGGGGGGATATCTAACATGTGGCCGTCTGGGCCCCCCCAAATGTGGGGGGCCACAAGATCAGGAAAAATCAACGAATCGACACCAGATGTGTATTAACTTGACACGTTCTGATAAGGGGGCCTCCTGGGAATCTCCTGGGGACCCCTGGGGCCTGTCCTGGGCGTCCTGCGGCCTCCTGAAGCTCTTTGGGGCCTCCTGGGGCTCTCAGGGTCCCAGGGGGGATATGTAACATGTGGTCTTCTGGGCCCCCAGCCTGGACCACCTCTTGCGCGGCATCTGGGAGCTCAAAGTTACGAGAATGTCTTGTGCGAAATGGGCCGGACCACCTTGCGCACGGCATCTCAGAGCTCAGAGTTGCGAGGATGTCTCAGACGAGACGGGCCGGACCACCTTGCGCAGGGCATCTCAGAGCTCAGAATTGCAAGGATGTCTCAGGCGAAACGGACTGGACCACCTCTTGCGCGGCAGCTCAGAACTCAGAGTTTCGAGGATGTCCCAAGCGAAACGGGCCGGACCACCTCTTCCGCGGCATCTCAGAATTCAGAGTTTCGAGGACGTCTCAAACGAAACGGGCCAGACCACCTCTCGCGCAGCATCTCGGAATGCAAAAGTGCGAGGATGTTTGAATTGAAACGGGCCAGACAACCTCTTGGGCGGCATCTCGAGGCTCATAGTTTGGAGCATGTCTCAAGCGAAACGGGCCGGACCACCTCTCGCGCGGCATCAGGGAGCGCAGAATTGCGAGGATGTCTCAGGCGAAACGGGCCGGACCACCTCGAGCACGGCATATCAGGGCTCAGAGTTTGGAGGATGTCTCAAGCGAAACGGGCCGGACCACCTATTGCGCGGCATCTCGGAGCCCAGAGTTTCGAGGATATCTCAGGCGAAACGCGCTGGACCACCTCTTCCGCGGCATCTCAGAACTCAGAGTTTGGAGGATGTCTCAGGCGATAGGGGCCAGACCACCTCTCGCGCGGCATCTCAGAGCTCAGAGTTTGGAGGATGTCTCAGGCGATACGGGCTGGACCACCTCTCGCGCGGCATCTGGGAGCTGAGAGTTTGGAGGATGTCTGAGGCGAAACGGGCTGGACCACCTCTTGCGCGGCAGCTCAGAGAAACGAAACGGGCCGGACCACCTCTCGTGCGGCACCTCGGAATGCAAAAGTGCGAGGATGTCTCAAATGAAACGGGCCGGGCCAAACGGGCCGGACCACCTCTCGCACGGCATCTCGGGGCTCAGAATTTCGAGGATGTCTCAGGCGAAACGGGCCGGACCACCTCTCGCACGGCACCTCGGGGCTCAGAGTTTCGAGGATGTCTCAAGCGAAACGGCCCGGACCACCTCTCGCGCGGCGTCCCAGAGCGCAACTTTTCGAGGATGTCTCAGGCGAAACGGCCAATCCCGGCTTACTCAGAAACGAGAGTTGTGAGGATTTCTCAAGCGAAACGGCCCGGACCATCAGATTTTTGTGAGGATGTCTCTGCTCCCCTTTCCCTCGGCCGGAGTTAGCTTCTATCACAACAGCACCCCGTTCAGCAAGCTGTTTGGGACAAAAAAAGACGACGCAGCTGATGAGCAGGCAACGAAGAGCGCCTGACCGAGGGGACGCACAGACCGAGGAGGACCGAGGGCCCGAGGGACACGGCGGGAAGGGGAGTAAAAGGCGACAAGAAGGCGAACCGATGGGGCAAAACTTGGCTAGACAAAAATCGCACACTTCAGTGCTCATGCCCTCCGTGACCTATCACTCACATCTGCTGCCACAAGCGGAGGAGGACAAGGAGGAGTAAAAGAGGACTAGAAGTTTCACTCAGGGCGTGGCAGTCGATGATGCATTTTCGGGCGCATCCATGGAACATGCGAAAACGTGGTGGGTATGTGCCCGAAGCGTCAACAAGCGTACGAATGCTCGTTACGCTTTCAGACAATCAACAAACAACAATATGCAATCGCGGACTTTCATGGTTCGCACTGCCGCGACGCATCCTGCAGAGTGCATGGGGCACAAACCATGTGAACGGACCAACAGTCTCTTCCTCTTCCTCCTCCTCCTCCTCCTTCTCCTCCTCCTCTTCCTTCTCCTCGTCCTTGTCATCGCCGTTCCCTTCCGACTCGGTCTCGGTCTTTCTCCTCCTCATCCTCCCCTAGCTGGCCCACAATATTAGAGAGCCTCGTCTGCCGTTTGTGATCGGATCTGTCTTGTGCCAGACGTAGCCGGAATGAATTGCTGCAAACCCAGGATGGTGCGAGTGCGTGTACACGCGCTGAGCCCACGGTCACTGAGCCGCCTGACGGGCCGGGGGGCCCAAGAGCAGATACAGAGAACCCACAACACACATCATGAGCATAAGCTGAGGTCCGCGCAGGTTTCTTGTGTCGGCGCGTGGGCTCCCTCCCAGAACCCCTGGCGGCGCCTTCGGCTCCAGGGAAGGGATGTGGGGAGGGTGGTGCAGCGCCGACTCAAGAAGTCCTCGCAGTCCTCCGGCAGTTTTCCCCAAGAAGTGCTTGCACCAAAGGGTTCTGGCTCTCATTCGGTTTCGTTGAGGCCGTTGGTCGGTATTCCCCGTTTTCGCCACGTTTCGGCCCGTGCCGCCTCGTGGGCGCCCCGCGCTTGGGGGGTATGCCGAGCTTGCTCCACGTTGCCGCCAGTGCCGCCTCGTGGGCGCCCCGAGCTCTGATCTTACGCGACAAATATTCCACCACGTAGCTTGCACCCCATATCTTTCACATCCAATTCGCACTACCTAGCTTACACGACATAGCTTGCACCAGATATCTTTCACCTCATCAGCTCACAGCACACAGCTTCCGCAGGATAGCTATCACCTCCACAATGCACAAACACACACTTTGAGGCCCACGCTGGCTTACATATGTTTGGTTTTCGTGTCTTCGTGTCTTCGAGATCACACAAATCGCCCACAAACCAATTCAGCGGCCCTGCAACTTTCTGACAGTTTCGCCGTCCGGTTCGGTTGCTCCTGGGCTCCCTGGCTCCCCTGGGCGGCTGAACGACCCTGGTCGCTGGGCCTCGGAGGGCACCCCACGCCCGCCCGCAGCCCGCGTCCCGCCAGCGGCCGCTCCATCGCCGTCGTAATAAAAGCCCACCGTCGAGCCTGCCAAATCATGGCTCGCTAGCAGGCAAACGTTGATGGTCAGCCGGTACTTGTCCTGGTGCACTTTGAGCGCCAATCGGTCCGCGCCTGGCCGCCCGGGATAATTGTCCAATCTCACCGCGTGCATGAACCGTGGAGGGGGATCATCGTCAATGCCGATAAGAGGCCACAAGGGTGCAACTGCGTCATGAATTCTCTCGCACAGGCTCGCGAAACCGCATATCTCCAGCATGTCCATATTTTGATCGAAGCGCTCGTGAAACGGCAGCCCCATCTCCTGGGCCGCCGCCTCGTAATGCGCCAGCTCCTCCCAGACGGTGGCGGCAAAGTGCGGGTCCAAGACGGGCGCAATCACGAGGCCAGGTACGCTGGCGCTCTGCTGAACCCCGGCCGCGTCTACGAAGGAATCGGCTGGAGGCTCGTACACGCTCGCGTGCAGAGGCCTGTACAATCCGCTGGCCACCCGTAGCCTGGCACCCGCGGCCTCAACTTTCCCAACTCTCGTTGGGCTGTAAGCTCGTTTCGATAGATTACGTTTGCGCTGGCTTGTGCCTTCGCCCATCCCCTCCCCTCATCTCCCCCACCCTCTCTGTCTCTCTCTTTCCCTCTCCCCTCCTCTCCCTCCTCTCTCTCTTCTTGCCCCTCTCCCCCTCCAACTCCCCATCCTCCCCTCCGTTCTGCCCTGCTTTGCTATCCTCCCTCCCTCCGCCCCTTTCCCCCTCCCCCAGTCCTTCCCTTGCCTCGCTCTCTCGTGCTTGCCTCCCCTCCCCCCCTCCTCCGCTCCCTCCTCCCCCTTCATCCATCCTGCCTTCGCTTTCTCCTTGATCCCCCTTCTCCCTTTCCCTCTCCATGTCCCTCTCCTGCTCTTCAGTTCTTCTTCTCCTCCTGGGGGGGGGGGAGCTGGAAGTGAGAGGTGAGAGGTGAGAGGCAGGAGGAGGAGGAGGAGGAGGAGGAGGAGGAGGAGGAGGAGGAGGAGGAGGAGGAGGAGGAGGTGGAGGAGGAATAGGAGGAGGAGGAGGACGTGCCCTGAAGCTGTTTCACCCTCCTCCCTGCTAGAATCCGTCGTCACAGCGAGGTCCTCGAGTCGCGCCTAATTAGCTGTTGCCACGATGCCTCATCCAGAACCACATAATCCCTCTGCCGTCCCCTCGGTGGGTTCGATTGCGTGCGGGGTAGCCTCTTGCGGAGTATCGCGCCAGGCGCCATGGCCGAGGCACGGGGGGGTCGTGCAAGTCGCCGCGCCTGGGGTTCTTCTTGCTCTATTGCTACGGGCGGCCTAGCTCCAAGCAGGTGGCGCCGTGAAGGCGCGGCGGAGGCGGTGCCGAAACTTCGACCTTGCAAAGCAGGGCGGGGGCTTGCCGCCCCCAAGTCTCTCGGGCCGCCCGGCCTCGGAGAGATACCGAAGGGGCCCGCGCCGCTCCCGGGCAAGACTCGTGGAGACCCCTCGGCGCCCTTGGACATTCCCTGGAAGCCCTTTTTTCGGGGGGGAGCCTTGGAGGCCGCCAGATGCTGCCGAAACGGCCGGCCGCCCGCCACGCTTCGCAATGCTCGAAACGGCCGGCCGCCCTCTCCCGCAGGAGCCCCGCGGCCCCGGGATGGCCCCGGTTGCTCCTCGGAAGGCCCTGGCGAGCCCCTGCAGCGGGGCAGGGCCCGCCACTGGCCACGCTGGGGAGCCTCCGCGTGCCCCGTGCGACTTCCGGAGGCGTCGCTGCGGGCAGCTCTCCTGGAGGCCTCCTAGATGGGGTCGGAGCAGATGGGGTCGGAGGATGGCGCCGCATCGCCGATACATCGGCAATGCATCGGCGATGTATCGGCGATGCATCGGTGATACACTGGCGATGCATCGTCGACGTGGGCGATGCATCGGCGACGCTGACGTGGAGAAACTCGGGCTACGCATCGAGCCGCATCGTCGATGCACCGGCGATGCGGCACGATCCTCTGACCCTATCTATTCCGACCCAATCTAGGAGGCCTAGATCTCCTGAGGCTCTCGGACTCCCGTGGGGGATCGAAAGAGGGGTCTTCGAGTGGGGATCGACTACATAATGAATCGATTTGCCCCAATTTCGTTGCGTCGACTGTACGAACAACGCGTAGCATGTCCGTCTATCTACGAAGGCTAGTATATTGAACAGAACGATTCGGCCGACCCCTCAGGGTTTACGCGTATAATGTCAGTCTATCTACGAAGGCTACTATATTCAACAGAACGAATCAGGCTACAAACCTTCCCCAACCCCTTTCCCGGGGGGGCTCCAGGCTGCGTCTGGCTGGTTTTGGGAGGGTCTTGGCGAAATGAGCTGGCAGCGCCCCAGCGGCCTCAGAAATGCTCATGGACAGCCTCCGACGGCTTTGAAATGGCTCCCACGGCTTCACAGACCAGCCGAGATGGCACCCAGTCGCCTGCTGCCCGCCACGCTCCCGGGCTGCCCGCTGCAGGGGGGGGAGGCTCCCAGGAGCCCGCGGGAAAGACCCCCCCCCCGCCGCCTCCCCCTCGGAAGGCCCTAGAGGCGCCCCTCGAAACCCTCGGCAAGCCTCCTCCCAGAGTAGTGGGCGGGTGCCGTGCGGTGAGGCGTGCAGGAACGAGGAAGTAAGCGCAGGGACGCTTTCGAGTGGGAGATCGACTAAAGAATTCATCTACCCCAGAACTGTTTTTTGTCGGATCTGCGAACAATTCGTAGCATGTTCGTAGAGTCAGATACGCATCCGTCCCTGGGGGTCCTCCTCCCCCTCCCCTCCCCTCTCCCACGCCGGTCCTCCTCGCGTCCTCCTCCCCAGGGGGGGGCGGCCCAGGGGGGAGTCTGTTTCCTCCTCCTTCTCCTCCTCCTCCTCCTCCTCTCCGCCTGCTCCTCCTTCTCCTTCTCCTCCTCCTCCTCCTCCTTCTCCTCCCCCTCCTGGTCGTCGTCGATGTCTTTCAGGGTCGGCGGCGCCGGCCGTCAGGCCTTCACAGTCTACGAAAAATGCGTAGCATGTTCGTAGATCGACGAGCATTCCCCCTATCTGTAGACGCGACGGAACAGACTTTTGGGGCGAATCGGTTCTGCAGCCGATCTCCCACTCGAGCGCCTGGGGAGGTGCCGACCTCGGAGCAGGCGGCGGCGCGCCCAGGGGAGACCAACTCTTGCCCTCGACCCTCCAGGATCGAGGGTGTGAGTGTGTGTGTGTGTGTGTGTGTGTGTGAACGGTTTCGGGCGTTTTTTTGCGCACTTCTGGCCCTATCCGGGCCTCCCGAGGCCTCTGGGGGTCAGGATCTGGGGCGGAGGGCCCCCCCTCGGGGAGGGCACCACCTCTGGGAGGGCCCCTGGCACCACCTCGGGGAGGGCACCACCTCGGGGAGGGCACCTCTGTGACGCCTCGTGGCGCACCACCTCTGGGAGGGCCCCCCCCCCTCCCCCCCCTGTAGGGCGGAGGACGGCACGTCCGTGACCCGCGCGGGCTTCCCGCGTGCTCCTCCAGGGGTGTGCGTGCTTGGCAGGCGGCGGTGCGCCACGAGGCGTCGCAGATGTCCTGATCCTCGCCAGGCCCGCCTCGACCGCGGCCTGCCGCCGCGCCGCGTCGCAGGCCTGCACCTGTCGGGGATGGACAGCGCCCCCTTTGGTAAAACGTGGTTTCGCGAGAACGGCCTCGGACCCAAACCTGGCGGGCGCAAGCCTGGAAAACGACGGCCGCGGCGCCCCCTCGAGAACCGAAAACGGACAACTCACTAATCGACGTGTCAGGGTGGGGGCTCTGTCCACCCCCGAACCTGGGGCTAGGGAATCAGCGCCGCAAAAAGGCTCCTCTGCCTCTTCCTCCTCGTCCTCTTATCCCCTCTTCTTCTTCCTCCTCCTCCTCCTCCTCCTCCGGCAGACAGTCCCGCCTCACGCGAATCTGTCCTTCAACGGGAGGGGGAGGGGCATGGCTGTTGAACGTCTGTCACGAGAAAGGACCCATGAGACGCTACTCAACCATGCCGTCCGCCGTGCAACCGCGCGCCGTAGTGCGCCTCCCGCTGCAGGTACGGGCCCTCGCCGCCCCGCGTGCGGCCAGGACCATCGCGAGGGCGTGGCGCTGACCGTTGCAGGTCAGGTGCCGCCCTGACCCCCCGGGATCGCTGTTGCCCGCGCCGTGGAAGTGCTCGCGAGCAGGCGCCGAGTCCACGACCTGCGCGCGACGAGGGCCGCCGTCCTGACCAGTGCTCCACGTAAGGTCGCCTTCGTCCGCCCCTGCTCTGCTGCTGCGCCGAAGACGCTTGCAGCCGCGACTGCTGGCCGCGTCCTGCGCCCTGAGAAGCCTGCTCAAACGGGGGTGGCGCGCAGTGCGCAAGAGCCTCCTGCGCAGCAGTATGCACCATCATCGCGGCGAAAGGTCAATGACAGCCCTGTGCTGCTGAGGCCCGCGCAGCCTTTGCGCCCTCGCCAGGGCGCTACTCGGCCCGCGACCACCTACCATGGCGCGTGCATCGACGCTGACGGTGGGTGGCGGTGAAGCACACCCTGCGCTTCTTGCCTGCTGGCTGTGTACAGCGTGTCTCGGCTTGTGCCCAGTCACTACCTTCAGCTATGCCTCAACGAGGCTCGTCGACCTCTACCAGAACACTGTGGAACAGACGTGCTGGAGCGAGGGACAGCGGCGCAGACGGACCCTGTATTTCAGGCGGCGAGGTCCCTGACGGATGCGGCGAGCCTCGTCCATCTCAAGCAACTCAGGCGTGGGCCCCACGGGGTGCCCCTTTCATCTTAAGCAGCTCATTCTGGTCCTCCCGCTCCTGCTGCTGCTCCTCTGCCTTCTCCTCCTTCGCCTGCTCTGTTTCCACCTCGTCCTCCTCCTCCTTCTCCACCTCCTCCTGCTCAGCCTCATTCGCATGCTCCTTTTTCTAGCCCTTCTATACATATATATATATATATATGTATATATATATGTATATATAGTTTTTGTTTTTTGTTGTTACTTTTTTATCCTTCTTGTTTTCCTCTCTCTCTTTCTCTCTCTTTCTCTCCCCACCTCTTAATCCGACTTGTAAACAACTCGTCCTCCTCGCGCCACGGGACGTGCCGGTAGGGCAGGCCAGGCGCTTCCCCTTTAAGTGACAACCCCGAAACAAGAAGTGTACAACAACTGCGAAGATGGAGGGCGGGTCGTTTTCATAACGTGCCTCTTGCCGTAGCGCCACACGCATTCGCCAGCACAATTTCCAGCAGCTGAGCGGGTGGATGGCGGGTGGCTCGCCTTCGCGTCGCGCGCATTCCTCACCGTGTCCACCAATTCAACAGTTTCTGTTGTATGTCACCGTGTCCCGCGCAATTCGTTCCTGACTGCGCCACAGGGTGGAGGCCGTTTTTTGTTCCTCTTGTTTTCTGTGTCTCCTGAAATAGGCTCTTGCTTTACGCTCCATCACATGTGCCACGAGAAATTTAAGAATGTGCACCAACCGGAGACCTTTTCAAAGCGGGGTTCTCGCTTGATAGCGCAAACATTGTGATAAGAGGCACAAGACTGTACATTCGCTCCATTGATGGAGGGCTCCCTGAGGCCCTCGCATTCATTGAAAGGGCATGGGGCTCACGTGTTGCAAACATGACTTCCGAGCTCACACGGGTTTCGAGTAGGGACTTACGACAAGTGGATTTGGGTCGGGAGGGTGTGTTGCAGCACCGCTGATGCACCCTGGGTTCACTCTGGTCCTCCTTTTCCTCCTCCTCCTCCTCCTCCTCGACGTCCGCCCCTCCCCAACGCGAACCCCTGAGGGGGGGTGGTGGGTGGTGGGGGGACTGGTGACTGGGGGCGGAGGGACATCAACTCATGGCGGCGCGCAGAGGCCGCCAGGCGAGGAGGCCGGGGAGGGGAAGCCAGGTGAAGGGGGGGAGCCTCATTGAAGGTATCGGCCCCTCAGGGGCCATTGAAAAGCGCGGGGTCCTCCTTGGCAAGCCGTCACCCACCACTTCATGGACCTTCCTGGCTCCCCCCTGCGCGCCGCCAACCACTGCGCGGCCTTCCCGGGCCCCGTGGGAACCCGGCGCATGTGCGCGGCCTCGCGCAGAGCGCGCTGCTCCACTGCCTGCCTCGCCGTCGGCACCCCGCGGGGGCCACGCCGCGATGCCGCCGAGAGCACCTCCACCAGGGCGGCATCCCGCCCCGCGCCCGCCTCGTCGGCGAGCGCCGCCCGCTCCAGCGCCAGGTCCAGCGGGCTCACGCCGGCCGAGTCGGCGGCGTCGGCGCTGGCGCCGCACGCGAGGAGCCGCCGCGCGGTGGCCAGGTGGCCGGCCTCGACTGCCAGCGACAGGGCGGTCCTGCCCGCGTACCTGTGCAGCGGCAGCTGCGGCGAGTCCGAGGGTAACGGCCCTGCCAACAGACATCGGGGGCCGCGCCCCCGCTCCCGGCACCCGACGAGGGGAGAAAACGACGCCGACGCCCCGCAGAAGCGGTGCGTCTCGCGGAGGTTGCACTACGCCAGTGCAGTCAGCGAGCCTGCTAACACCCACAGGAGGGGGTGGGGGGAGAAGGAGGAGAGGAGGAGGATGAGGAGGGAGACGGGAGGCGGAGGGAGGAGGGAGGAAGGAGGAGGAGCAGGGGCGATCCCCAAACGACCCCCTGTGACTGCATCGGAGGTTACGTCTGCAACTCGCTGCAAGGCGCGGGCCTGTCACAAGCAAGAGGCGCCAGGATCTGCTCCCAAATCTCACACCCTCGATAGCCCCACGGAAATCGCTGCATCTGAACGCAACCGCGCCGTCATCAGAAACTCTTACGTACCCGCTGTGCATTTCCAGAACCGTGGAGGATGAGCCTTTGGACGGTTCGTGGCCCTTGGCCCTCACTGGAGTGGCCACCCCATGCGCTTCCTGCATTCCGAGCCGCCAACGACGATGACGGGGGGGGTGCCCGTCCACGAGATCAACCGTGGATGCAGGTGGGGAGGCTGTGAGAAGAACGAGGAAGAGGAATAAAACAGTATGGGAGCAAGAGAAGCATTCCCCGATTTCGTTGGCAGATTGTCGGACCTGCTTCTTTTTGCCACCGCGGAGTCGCTTGTACGGTGCAAGTGTGTCGCCTCGTGCCGATGCGTCAACCGACACCACCCCTGAAGCGATCAGCTCAACACATTGGTCGTGTTGGTCCAAATAAGCGGCGAGGAGAAGCTGTGCCACCTGCGGGTCAGCCTGGTCCTGCTCAGCTGTTGGCAAGGCAACGGTCATCGGCTCCATCTTGCCATCTAAGCAATACAGCTGCTGCTAACCGAACAGACTTGAACCCACATTACCACGGAATCATGGCGGACTGCCGAATCATACTACGTGCGCTATGCTGAAGATTAATGGCACGCGATTGCGACGGACATTAACTGGCGGAGAGCATATGAAGAGAACCTTGACTGGAGGCAGTGGCACATTATTCAGCCATTATCGGGCGGTTGAATTTCCCTTGCCCCTTGCCCACTTGTCCCTGCTCTCCTACTACTCCTGCTAATGATTCTTAAACTCCTTCTATTCTCATGCAACGCGGCGTTCACGCGGGATACGGGATCTAATTATAAGGTGCTGAGTGGGAGAGCAACAGGGAGGTGTATATATATAAATATGTATGCATTTAGGCATGTATATATACATTTACATACACATACATATACACATGCACTCGTACACGTATCTGATACCTTCTCTATATTTACATATCTATTTACACACGCATATATATATATATATATATATATATATCCACGTGTGTATACATACATACATATATATACATATATATATAGGTATATCGTATATAAGTGTGCGTGTTCATTTATATTCACACATATATTTATATAGAGGGAGATAAACAGAGAAATAAAGCGAGATACATATCCTGGGTTTGGAGGAACTGGGCAGAGCAACGGGAATTGGCAGAGGATGGGATGGCAGAGAAGGGCCATGAAGGAAGGACACATCGAGAGAAGGGATGAATATACCGCATGAGGGGGAGGATATAACCAAGCGCCACAGAGAGGCGGGTGAAAGGAATGGGAGTACGAAAACGGGAGAGCAAGGAACAATAATTTCGGGGCGAACATGACATCCGCCAACCCCTTGGGGTTCATCGGCGTGTGAAATGTTTCCCCCTCCCCAAACCCCTCCCCGGGGAGCCCGGTCTGGTCGATTTGAAGGGGGGGTGGGTGGGTCCCTCGGGATCCGGGTGAACGCACCCGGGGGGGAAGAGGGCGTCAAAACAGGGCTAGATGGCCCCAAGAGGCCCTTGGGGCGGTCCACGAGGGCCACGAGTCGCTGAAAGATCGATCCACAATGCCCATGCTGGCCTCCAGACGGCCCAAAAGGTCCCCAAGACGCTCCAAGAAGCCCCAAGAGGCCTCCCAAGAGGGCCTCCAAAAGCAAATATCGTCTCATTCCATTTGGACACGTGTATTTTTAGCACATCCGCAACGTCCCAGACGGCCCACGAGGCCTTCAAGATCGCGCCGAGACGGGCCAAGAGGCCCCGGGGAGGGCTCCAAGACGACCCAAGAGGGCCCCAAGACGGCCCAAGAAGCCCCCAAGACGGCCCAGGAGGGCGTCAGGACAGCCCCAAGAGAGGGCCCAGAGGGGGAACGCGAACGGACATTTCCAGACTTCCACCCCAAGACGCCTCTGGGTTGCCCCAAAAAGCCCCTAACAGGCCCGCAGGGAGCCCTTAAATGGCGACAAAAACGGCCGAGAGGCTCCCAGGAGGCCCCTCAAAACAACCTCCAATACGCTTCACACGAGACCGCATCAGTCATCCGAGTTGCCTCAGACCCGCCACCCAGGCACGGTGGCGGCATGTGCCGAGGGCCATTTGATAATCATTCTTCGGGTGTCTTAACAGATGCCCGCCTTTTGTATACGTGGGCTCTCGCCCGTTTCCCCATGCGTGCACGACGAATACTCAGAATGTTAGCCCAAGAGGCCTTGAAAAGGCCCCAAAGGGGCCCCCCTTGAAGCCCCAAAAGAGCCACAAGAAGCCCCCCAAAGGTGCACAAGAGGCCCTCAGGAGCAGTACACAACAACTGCCATTTCCCCAATGGGTCGGCGGTGTGGCGTAAGCCCAAGAATAATAATCTTGTAAGGGGAGATTGAGATAGCTTGTGATGCGATGGAACCCACGTTAGGCCCGACCAGAGGGGGACAGAGAAAGCGAGAGAGAAAGAGAGAGCGAGAAAGGGCGAGAGAGAGAGAGAGAAAGATATCGATAGACATAGAGACAGAGGGAGAGAGAAAGAGAGAGAGAGAGAGAGAGAAAGAGAGAAGGGGACACAGAGAGAGAGAGAGAGAGAGAGAGCGAGAGAACAACACATATATATATATATATATATATATATAGAGAGAGAGAGAGAGAGAGAGAGATAAAGAGAGAGAGAGAGAGAGAGAGGGAGAGAGAGATATAGAAAGAACGAGAGGAGAGAGGCAGAGAGAGAGACTTAGCAAGCTCCGCGATGCCGATGATCTGCTTGTGGCACTCTGTGTCCTTGTACAACAACACGGCAGGCGTGGATGCGTCGGGAAAATCTGGAACCACCTCGTCCGCAACTCCCTTCATGAACTTCACTGCTGGAAAACGCTTTGCGACAATCTCCCACGGCCGCATCAGCTGGTAGCCATTTTGCGACTTTGCAGACGCACCAAACAGACTTGGAACAACCGACCTCAACAAAGCGTGTGGGATACCCGTGCGGTCGGCGATTCATCGTCGAGGCTGGCGGTGCGGTCTGGACCTCTTGAGGGGGTGGGGGGGTACAGTAGCTGCTGGAGCAATCCAGAGCACATGGCTCAACAAATCCTCCCAAATAGCTGGATACTGGGGTGTAAGCGCTTCGATGAAGCCGTCCTCACTTGGAAACGGCGATCTTGCGCTTCGTGTAGTGGGTGCGACGGCGTGCACGAGAACGATGACCCTGATGGCTGGCGGAGCCTAAACGTTCTCCTCCTGATGCTCCTGCTGCTGACGGTAGGCGGCGCAACGGGGTGACGCGGTGTCGAAATGTCGTCGTACCGTATCGATGTGATGTTGTCGTGCCTAAGTGTCGCAGTGCGAATGGGGCAAGGTGTCGCGGTGTAGTGGCGCCGTAGAGATGTGGTGTCATCGTGCGCAATACGAAGAAAAAAGCGCGGTGTCGCGGTGCCGTGGAGCCGTCGTGCCAAGGTGTCACGGTGTGGACCAATTCTGGACCGATTGGGAATCAATGATGAACCAGCTGGGTTAACCGTGAATCAATTGGGAATGAATCCCGATTCATCCCTGAATGAACTGCGATCAGATCGTGGGTCGATGTTGAGGCACGTCTTTGATTCCCGCCTGAACCAAATACGTATATATATGTATATATATACGTATATATATGTATGTATATATATACGTGTATATATATATATGTTTATATATATATATATATATATATAGATATGTTGTGGCTTAGCGGTAAGCCCCATGTACCCAATTGTGAATGAAATACTTCGTGCTGCAATGCCTGGGTGTGGCTGTCGTCCTGCGGTGTTGTCGTAATGTCGCTGAATTGGCAATGCTCTTCCCTTCCGTCCCTGCCCTTGCCCAACACGGCTCGTTCGCTGGTGGCACTACGGCCTTTGCCGTTGACGATGGGCCTCCTCCCGGTCTCCACTGTCAACGGTCTCTGAACTCGACTGCGGCAATCGCCGGCAAGAACACCACCAATCTGATCGGCGGCGCTCTTCTCAGGTGGCTCCTCTCCCGCAATCTGGCGCAACGTTGGGGCACTAACCCTGATGGGCCAAAATAGAAACGGACACCCACCCTTCCCGTCTTGCTGGTCCTACAGTCCTCACACCTCCAGACTCTTCTAGTAAGGAAGATCCAGGTCAGTTGTGAAGCACCTGCGAATTAATTGAGAAGAATTGTGAACCGATTGCGTCTGAAGGGATGGGTTGATGGACGTATGGGCTGAAGTCAATATTCATGAAGGGATGGATGCACGGAGGGATGGCAGAATTGATGTCAACAGGCGTGCGAGTCAAATACAGAACCACTGCCAACAACCTTATCGGCTGCGTGATGCTTTATTTGGCAATCTTCCCAAGGTCGGAATATTGGGAATTCTATCGTTCGCCTGCAGCACGTACGGTCAATTGAACTCGCTGTGGTTGATATCACCAGCTGTTGGTTGCACTCAGCTCCAAACCACGCCCCAGGATTGGCATTTCCGAAAGGGACTCGTTGGGCCACGCATCTGGGCAGATCTGAAATCGGCGCGAATGCTGTGGGAAGGCGCTTGCCTGTTGACACTCCCATCTCGCGTCCACGTACATCAGCACGACCACCTCAGTCTGCTGCAACCGATGCACCGTCGACGCGAACCATCTTCGCCTCCATTGCCCAGATCGGCGCGCACGTGCATGCACAGTTGCCTCCAGCTTCCCCCTCCCCTTCCGCCACAGGTGGGCTCTGCTCCGGGCGGGCTGCGCCCCCAGGCGGGCTCCGAGCTTGAAGCTTTAAACCAACTCCCAAAACTCCATCGGCCACCGTCGTCGTCGTCGTCGTCGTCGTCGTCGTCGTCGTCGTCGTCGTCGTCGTCGTCGTCATCGAACTTCGGCGTTGCCGTCGTCGGCTCGCACCCCAGCAGCGAAGGCCGCGACCCACTGGCCCCCGGCGCTGCCCTCCGTGACCTCTTTGACGAAATTGCAGCGGGGCAGCTGCAACACCTCGCCGAACCTCGCGGCCTGAGGCGGGGCGCGGGGCCATGAACCACCTGCTCCTTGCTTCGTTTCCTGCCCATTTCCGTTGGCCCCTACCTCCTCCGCCCTCCTCGGCCCCCCATTCATGCACTGCCTAAATCCCCCTCGTCGGACCACCAAACGTATCTGATCTGGAAGACGGTGCGGGCGCTTCGTCTGAAACCCCCTGGCTAATCGTGTTTCGAAATCTGGCTCTTGCCTTGGAGCCGCGCGCGCACAGTCGTGTCGACAGTATTCAGCAAGTACACGAATGGGTTGCGTTCTTTGCTGGGGTACCCAGCGGGTGCAACTATTTTGCGCCCCGCGCAAATCCTGCTGAAACGCGTCCGTGGTGATCCGTTCGGCCGATTGGAAAAAGGAGAGAAAGAGGGGAGCAAACGGGATTGCCGAAACAACGTGGTGGCGGCCCACATCATGTAACCTTCTGAGTGTGGGCGGAAGTTCGGACAGCTTGGGTGTGGATGACGTTGGGCGTCGTCAGCCAGGCGGAAGGCTTAGCAAGGGCATGCGTGTAGCTTTCCCATATTCTGCGTTTGTTCCCTGTGCCCAATTCACCACTGGGCGGCCCGCCTTCCTGCGCGCCAGTTGCCGGGGAATAAAGCAACGGTGCCGTGATTGATCCCCGAAACAACTTTCCTCGGTTCTGGTCGAACTATGGGCTGGTGGAATTGCACAGTGCCTTCCGTACATACACTGCTCATGCATCGTGAAATGTCGGTGTTATATCACATTTTGCCAGGATTCATCTCGGCGACCGCTTCATATGTCGGATTTGACCTATCCGCGTATCCACCGCGCTTGCGGCGGTCGGTGTGCGTTGGGGCCCTTGCTTTCTACGCTAGTATCGCTCCTTGCGCAGCAGGGGGCGAGGTATAGGGTGAAGTGGCAAGAGGGGGCAGGAGGGTATGACAAAAAGAGGGGTACCAAATGGCGGAGGGGGAGGAGGCAGAGGACGGGGAGGAAAATGAGGAGGAGGAAAAGGAGGAGGGACGGAGAGGGCGGGGAAACGGAGGAGGGAAGAGGCGGAAGGGGAAGGAAGAGAAAACTGCAGCTGTCGCCCTCTCTGCGTCCTTCCGCCTACTGCTGTTGAGGCCGGAGGCCAGAGGCGGGCTTCATGTTCCACGCGCTGGGAGCTGCGGATTGCTTTCCTGCCTGGTCGCGGGCGAAATGCGCTTCCAGCGCCTTGGGGTGCGTCGGCGGTTGGGCGCCCGCACTGGCGCCGCGCGCCTGCCTGCGGAAAGTCGGGATGGGATCCTCGCGCTCCGTGCGCCCGCCGATGAATTAGTGAACTAGCTGCTGGAGATGGCAATTCGGCTGGGCGCCGTGTGGCCTGCTGCCCAGTCTCGGCCGCCCGTCCAGGTAGATGGTGATGCGGGGGAACTCGTTGCCCTGGACCTCATCGATGGTGCTCGCGTAGCGCGTGCGGGTGGGGAGGTTGGCCGCGTCGCCCTTGCCGAGGCCCGTCCAGCGCGTGATTGCCAGTCGCTGGCCTGTCTTCGCCGTCCCCCTGGGCATGTCTTCCACCGCCCTGTAGTTGTCAGCAGTCTGAAGCGCCCCGTTGACGTGGTCGTCCTTCTGGTGGACGCTCTCTGTGAAGTGCAGGCGCGTTCCCCTGCGACCAGTGCCTCGCTCGGGATCGGGCGCTGCTCTGTGCAGAAGGCCCCGTCGCGACATTTGTCCAGATTTAGCTCCGCGTCGCCAGGGGGCGTTGCCGGCGGCGACCTGCGCCCGTCGACGGCCCGCGCCACCGCTTCGCCCGCCGCCGTGGAGCCCTTGCGTGTGCGGGTGGTAAGGGTGGTGTCGGGGTACCTCGCGGAAAGCTTCTTCAACTCGCCCGGCGTGGGGTCGCCCCTCTTCCATGCCCTGTGCCCGCGGCCGATCTGATTCGGCGTCTGCTTGCTCAGTGTCCCACTGCCCCCACCGCTGTCCCACTGAGCTGCCCCACTGTTCCCACCGCGGTCCCCGCTGTCCCCACCCCTGTCCCTACTGTACCTCTGTCCCATTATCCCACCGCCGTCCTCGCCACCGCCCTCGCCGCTGTCGCCACCGCCACTGTGCCCTCCACTGTCCCATTCTTTCCACCACGTTCCCACTGTCCCCGCACCGCTGTCCCCACCACCACCGTTGCCACCACTGTCCCGCTGTCCCCGCTGTTCCCGCCATTGTCCCCGCTGTCCCCACCAATGCCCCCGCCGCTGTCCCACTGTCCCCACTCTCCCCGCCATTGTCCCACCGCGATCCCACTCTCCCCACTTTCCCCACGGTCCCCACCACTGTCCCACTGTCCCCACTGTTCCCGCCACTGTCCCACTGCCCCCGCCGCTGTCCCACTGTGCTGTCCCGCCGTCCCCGCTGTCCCCATCGCTGTCCCACTGCCCCCACTGTCCCCACCACTATCCCCAGTGTACTACTGTCCCACCACTGTCCTCGCCACCGGCTTCGCCGCTGTCTCCACCAGTACTGTCCCCACCACTGTCCCACTGTCCCCGCTGCTGTCCCGCTGCCCCCTCGCCACTGTCCCCACCGCCGCCGCCGTCCTCGCCACTGTCCGCGCCGCTGTCCCACTGTCCCCGCGCCGCTGTCCCCGCCGCCGCCGTTCCCACCGCTGTCAACATCCCCACCATTCTCCAACTGTCCCGAGGAGCGGGCGTCGTTTGCCGGCGGCGAAGGGTGGGGTGTGGGGGGGGGTTAGGGGCCCCCAGTGACCCCTCCCGTTTTCCGCCAGCAGCGGTAGAGCACGCTCTTTCGAATGTTTCTCCCGCGGGAAATTTTAGCACTCGCGTTGTTCCCGGGCTTCGAACGCCCGAGACGGCCGAGGAGACCGCCGAGATGGCCCTGAGGCAGCCCGCGGGGCAGTTGGCGCCTGCTCCTCCAGGTGGGGGACGCGCTGCCGAAGTTGACTAATCCCCGAAGATCCTGGGGCTAGCGGCGCCTGGCAAAATGTTCGAGCCGCCTGGGCGACCCGGGGCTTCCCGCGACCGCCCGAGAAAGGGCCCCGGGGAATCGTTGGGTATTCTCAAGCCAACATGTCATCGAAACGGCCCTGATAAAAAGGCTTCAACGCGGCCAGACAGTCGTCGAATGCGGCGCAGAAGCGCCCCGAGCAATTCCCGACGCGGCCCAAGGTAGTAATCCCAGAGATGGCCCCCAGAAGCGCTAGACAAGCCGAGCAAGCTTCAGGGCGACCCATAATGCCCACCAGAAGCCCTTGCCCCAAGGTCTTCAAGAAACAAGAAACCTTCAGAGACCCCCCCGGGCGCTCTCCGAAACGTGGTGACGGAATCGCACGGCAACGCAGCTGGGCACATGTATGTGTGTGTATGATTGTGTGCGCGTATGTATATTTATGTGTATGCCTGCCTGTCTGTCTGTCTGGTGTATGCATGTGCGTTTGAATATGCATATATGCGTGCACGCACGCACGCGCATCTATGTATATGTATATACATATATATATATATATATATATATATATATATATACATACATACATACATAAACGCACACTCAAACCTATTTACACATTGATCTGTGTATGGGTATCTAACTCTATGAATGTATTTATGTAGATATGTCTGTACTTATGTAGGCGCGGCGGCTTCTGGAAACCCGGAACCCAAACGTATTTCCATCCCTTGGGGGCGCATTCCTTACTTCCGCGGGCCCCCGCGGAGCTTCCGCCGGCTTCTTCCGGCTGCCTCCGTTTTACTAGCGCCGCCTTCCGCCGGGGAACATGTGATGAATCCATCGATCCTCGATGGCGAAGCCCTTTCTGGAACGCTTGATCTGTGTATATACTTTTATAATTGGGCCGAGGCGCGTCCCCCCCCCCCAGGGATTTGGGTGGGCGAATTCTTCTCTCGCGAGCGGCGCGCCCGCCGCGCCGGCCCCTCTGCGCGCGTATCAAAACGCGGCGTTACGCGCGACAGAAGCATTGGGGGGGGAAGGGGCCCTCGTCGCGCTGGCCATCGCGGCGCCGACGTTGATGTAAAAGATATCCTCGTCCAGCTCAGGGCCGCTCAGGAACGAGTGGCCGCGGCGCTTGCGGGGCCGTGCCTTGGCGCGACAATTCTTCGACTCCGCGTCGGTGGCGTGGGGCCCCGTCGCCATGTTCGCGCGCGGGTTGCCCTCGTGGACCACCGCCGCGGGTGGGCTCTCGAAACCCAATTTTGTGACCGCGGAGCGCGTGGAGATCCAACCGTCCGATGCGGCCGTCGACCTCTTGCGCGCGCGGCTCGCCGAAGCTTCCATGATCTCTTCGAGGCCCCGCGGCTCGCCGTCGCGGGCGTCGGCCATGCGCGGCGGGGGCTTGCGCGCCGCCCTTTTCCCGAGGTCCTGGTGCGAGTGCTCGTCGGGCATTTTGCCCGCGATGGCGGCCGCCCAGAGCCAGCGGCCTCCGCTCTTCGGGTTGGCGGCGGGCCCCTTGCGCAGGGCCGCGTTCTTCCGCGGGGGCGCCCTCTTCATCGGCGCCTTTCATCGGCATCTTCTTGAGCTTGAGGAAGCCCTTCTGCGCTCGCTGGGCGCAGTGGGCCGTTCGCGCTGGCGCGCGCTTCGGGATCTGCTTCCGCGCCAGTTGGGTGGCACCGCGCGCGCCGCAGTGGCCCCGCCTCCGCTCGAGCTGCGGGGTTCGATCGCCCATCGTGGAGGTTGAAGTCCTCCGCCAAGTCGCCTTCGAAACTACAGTTCGCGATGTTGTCCGCGATGTCGCCTGCTGAGAGAGAGAGAGAGAGAGAGAGAGAGAGAGAGAGAGAGAGAGAGAGAGAGAGAGAGAGAGAGAGAGAGAGAGAGAGAGAGAGAGAGAGAGAGAGAGAGAGAGAGAGATGAGAGAGAGAGAGAGGAGGAGAGTGAGAGAGAGAGAGAGAGAGAGAAGAGAGAGAGACGAGAGAGAGAGAGAGGAGAGAGAGAGAGAGAGAGAGAGAGAGAGAGAGTGAGAGAGAGAGAGAGAGAGAGAGAGAGAGAGAGATTGAGAGAGAGAGAGAGAGAGA